AAGGGTTTTCCTGCATCTTCTGAGCACCCGGTGTGTGTTTTCCGGCCGCCTGGTAAATTCCTTGACTGGAATCCGATCTGGTTCCAGTCAAGGGCATGTCAACCTTGGTTGTAGGCACATCCCCAGTGGGGAGTGTGCAGGAGGCAGCTGATTGATGTTTCTCTCTCATCAATGTTTCTAACTCTCTATTCCTCTCCCTTCCTCTCTGTGAAAAATCAATAAAATATATTAAAAAAGATAGAGACTTTAAAGAACATTGACTGCTGTTAGGGTCGCTGAAGGAGGAACACACGCGTCCAAAGGGGTAAAGAATTATAAATGTATTATTACATCTGCTAGAAGGGCTGACCCCAAGCTGGCATCAGCGGGGCAGAGGAGAGGGAGCGGGATATTTATGTCTCTTGTAAGGGTCAGTCAGAGTAACTGGTCAGACCAGGTGCAGGTGGTCCACTGGAAACTGGGTGAGTCGGTTCACTGGAAGCCGAAGGCTGTTAATCATGAAACCTACAAAGAGAATAACAGGAAAATCGCCCCGAGGGGCAAGAGCCCCCAGCAGGGCATAATGGAGCACAGGAATGTGCCTAACAACTGCCAGCTGGAGATTTTCTTTTTTTTTTTTTTTAAATATATTTCATTGATTTTTTACAGAGAGGAAGGGAGAGAGACAGAGAGCTAGAAACATCGATGAGAGAGAAACATCGATTAGCTGCCTCCTGCACACCTCCCACTGGGGATGTGCCTGAAACCCAGGCACATGCCCTTGACCGGAACCGAACCGGGGACCTTTCAGTCCGCAGGCCGACGCTCCATCCACTGAGCCAAACCGGCTTTGGCTGGAGATTTTCTTTATTAGAAAGGACAGCAAATAAAAGACACACTCCAACCTTGTGCATCTAGGTTAACACACCTTTGAAATGCCACACGTGGGGTGTTAACCTGTTGCAGAATTTACCAGGCAGCCGGAAAACACACACCGGGTGCTCAGAAGATGCAGGAAAACCCTTTATTTGCAGATGTACTAGGACAGTGACTCGGGGAGTCGCTTTCCAAAACCTGAGCACCGGATGTGGAGGGTCTCTCCCGTTTATCCCCTGGGTTTCTTGTCTCCCCAAATACAGACCAGGCTTCCGGACTTTTCGCGGGCTTTGCAGCCCCTCTGTGGGTTGGGGTGGGGGAGCTGAGATTACACCCAAAGGTCTGGCCTGGGGGTGCCAGTGACCTCCCCGGGCTAAGCTGTTAAATTCTTGGTTTGTGGCCCTTGTGAACTGGGAGTATTTAGGGAAACAGATTATTGCCTGAGGAAGGGGCAGTGACTTAATTATAGGCTAACAATGTGCATCAGGATACTGGTTAGTGGCACAGACTCAGATTGCTAGCCCCCAATTGTCTTCTATTCCCCTTCAAACCCTCACGAGAGCACATATCTCGTTAACTATAATTATAGGATAGTTAACAAGATCATGTGCTCCCCAATCTTTCTTACCTCCCCTCCTTAATTTCAAATGCATGAAAGAAGCTGTAAAACTGTTACGATTCTCTGGAGCATCTGAGATCTTGTCCCACAGCTTATGTCATCAGTTTGGCTCAAATAAATTCTTATAAACATTTAAAAGAAGAATTGAATTTATTTAAGGAAAGGGGCTGGGAGATGGGATATTCCAAGGGAAAGGCTAGTGTTCCCTTTTCTCCACATCCTCACCAACATGTGCTGATTTATTGTTGATGGCCATTCGGACAGGTGTGAGGTGATCTCTCATTGTGGTTTGAATTTGCATGTCTCTGATGATTGGTGATGCTGAGCATCTTTTCATATGTCTATTGGCCATCTGTGTGTCCTCTTTTGAGAAGTGTCTATTAGGTCTTTTGCCCATTTTTTAAATTGGTTTGTTTGCTTCTTTTGGTGTTGAGTTGTATGAGTTCTTTATGAACTTTGGATATTAACCCCTTATCAGATGTATCATTGGCGAATATTCAGTGGGTTGTCTTTTCCTTTTGTTGATGGTTTCCTTTGCTGTGCAAAAAGTCTTTAGTTTGATGTAATCCCATTTGTTTATATTTTCTTTTGTTTCCGCTGCCCAAAAAGATATAGCAGAAAAAAATATTGCTAAGGGAACTGCAGAGATTTTACTGCCAACGGAAAACACACACACCTGTTAGATCATCTTCACTTTCTTTTTCTGAGAAGCATGAACTGCAACGTTTTTTTCATTTTCTCAGTTCCCTGGTAAGGGCCATGCTTTACTACCCTGGCTTACCGGTGCTTTCCCCTAGGCCAGCCATGGGCAAACTACGGCCAGCAGGCCGGATTCGGCCCGTTTGAAATGAATAAAACTAAAAAAAAAAAAAAGACCATACCCTTTTATGTAATGATGTTTACTTTGAATTTATATTAGTTCACACAAACACTCCATCCATGCTTTTGTTCCGGCCCTCCGGTCCAGTTTAAGAACCCATTGTGGCCCTTGAGTCAAAAAGTTTGCCCACCCCTGCCCTAGGCCGTGGTCGGCAAACTGCGGCCCGCGAGCCGCATGCGGCTTTTTGGCCCCTTGAGTGTGGCTCTTCCTAAGCCTTAGGAGTACCCTAATTAAGTTCATAACAATGTACCTACCTATATAGTTTAAGTTAAAAAAATTTGGCTCTCAAAAGAAATTTCAATCGTTGTACTGTTGATATTTGGCTCTGTTGACGAATGAGTTTGCCGACCACGGCCCTAGAGCAGTGGTTCTCAACCTTCTGGCCCTTTAAATACAGTTCCTCATGTTGTGACCCAACCATAAAATTATTTTCGTTGCTACTTCATAACTGTAATGTTGCTACTGTTATGAATCGTAAAGTGAATATCTGATATGCAGGATGGTCTTAGGCGACCCCTGTGAAAGGGTCCTTCGACCGACAAAGGGGTCGCGACCCACAGGTTGAGAACCGCTGCCCTAGAGGACTCTGCCCTTGAGATTTCAACTTCAAGTGTAAAATTGACACATCTTTGGTCAGATACAAAATCCTGTTCTATAGAAAGAATGGTTTTTAATTTTTTTTTCTGTTAATCCTCTGAAAATATTTTTTCCATTGATTTTTGGAGAGTGGAAGGGAGAGGGAGGGGAGAGAGAGAGAGGGAATAGATATAAGAGAGACACATCAATTCGTTGCCTCCCACACATTCCCTAACGGGCTGGGGATTACCAGGTGTACCAGTTAATAATGCAGATTTTTTTCAATAGGTGGAGTTTCACATATGTTGATATATATGAGATTTGATATGTATGCTATTTTGTTGTATTGACAGCAAGCTTCAAAACTTCATATGTCAAATTTTCTGAAGGTGTTAATTTTTATGCTTAAAAATGTCAAATTTTGTGCCAAAAAAGAGCATTTGTGGGAAGTTTTAATTCATTACTTTATTTTGAAGAAAAGTGCTGCTGGAAGTTATCGTATACTTTGGGAAGCTTATGGTGAACATGCTCCATCTCAAGATACTTGTGAACGCTGGTTTAAACGCTTTGAAAGTGATGATTTTGATGTGAAAGACAAAGAACGTCCAGGTCAACTGAAAAAGTTTGAAGACCAACAATTACAAGCATTGTTGGAAAAAGATGCGTATCAAACTCAAAAACAATTTGCAGAAAGATTAAACGTTGCTCAGCAAACCATTTGCAATCATTTACAAGCAATGGGAAAGATTTTAAAGGAAGGAAAATGAGTGTCACATGAACTGAACGAAAGACAAATGGAAAACCGAAAAGTCATCAGTAAAATGTTGCTTCAATGGCACAAAAGAAAGTCTTTTGCATTGAATTGTGACTGGCGATGAAAAGTGGCTTTATTTTGAGAATCCCAAACGCACAAAATCATGGGTTGATCCAGGTCAACCATCAACATCGACTGCCATGCCAAATCGCTTCGGAAAGAAGACAGTGCTCTGCATTTGGTGGGATCAGGAAGGTGTGGTGTATCATGAGTTCTAAAACCAGGTGAAACCGTTAATACTGATCACTACTGACAATAAATTATCAATTTAAACCACGCTTTGATTGTGAAACAACCAGAATGGGCCAGAAGACATGGCAAAGTAATTTTGCTTCATGATGACACACCATCACACACTTCAAAACCAATTAAAGACACATTAAAAGATCTTGCCTGGGAAGTATTAACCCGCCTGCTGTATTCACCAGACCTTGCTCCTTCAAATTACCACTTGTTCTGATGGATGGCACATGCACTTTCTGAGCAGCACTTCAAAACATAAGAAGTGGAAAATTTGGTCTCTGAATGGTTTGCCTCAAAACAAGAAAAGTTCTATTGGGACAGTATCCACAAATTACCTGAAAGATGAGGGAAATGTGTAGCTAGTGATGGACATTACTTTGAATAAAGCACTTTTGATGTTTCTCTTGAAATTATCGTGTTTTCTTTTATTACAAAATTCACATTATTAACTGGTACACCTGATAAACCTAAAACTCAGATACATGCCCTTGACAGGGAATAAAACCCGTAATCCTTTGGTGCACAGGCTGACACTCTAACCACTGAGCAACACTGGTCAGGGCTGAAAGAATATTCTTTTTTAAAAAAATACATTTTATTGATTTTTTATAGAGAGGAAGGGAAAGGGAGAGGGATAGAGTGTTTGAAACATCGATGAGAGGAACATCGATCAGCTGTCTCCTGCACACCCCCCACTGGGGATGTGCCCACAACTAAGGTGCATGCCCTTGACCGGAATCGAACCTGTGACCCTTCAGTCCGCAGGCCGACACTCTATCCACTGAGCCAAACCGGTTAGGGCGAATATTCTTTATTTTTTTAAAAAATATATTTTATTTATTTTTTACAGAGAGGAAGGGAGAGGGATAGAGGGCCAGAAACATCAATGAGAGAGAAACATCGATCAGCTGCCTCTTGCACAGCCCCTACTGGGAATGTGCCCGCAACCAAGGTACATGCCCTTGACCGGAATTGAACCTGGGACCCTTCAGTCCGCAGGCCGATGCTCTATCCACTGAGCCAAACCGGGTAGGGCAGGGCGAATATTCTTATTTTATAGACCTGTCGGTCACAATTTAGTTCATCTGGAAAGCTGTGAAGGGGTAAATAAAATCACACTCTTTTATTTATTTCCTTATTTATTTGCTTTAATTTTATTAAATTTATTGGGATATTGCTGGTTAATAAAATTATATAGATTTCAATTGTAAAATTATATTATATAGCATTTGTACATTGTATTGTACTCAGCACCCAAAGTCAAGTCTCCTTTTGTTAGCATATATTTACACACTCATTTTACAGGAGAGTCTAATAAATTAGAATATTCACAGAACAGAAAGAGTAGGCCACTTTCAGGATTCCTGTGCACTGGTTCCACCTCAGGTTTGTTTTCCTGGAAGACCTAAGAAACGCTTGCCTGATTTTTTCCCTCCCTCGCTCCCTTCCTCCCTCCTTCCCTCTCTTTCTCTCTCCTTCCCTATCTCTTTCTTCACTTTTCACCGGGGCATTAGGACATTAAGAATTTGAATGAGTGAGCACACCAGGGAGAAGCAGGGGCAGTTTAGAGAATGAGGATATTCAAGAGGGATCCCTCAACTCACGTAAAGATGAGAAGTACTTTAATTTTAGGAGAAACATGGTGTTCAGTGTCATGTTGGAATTTTTCCATCCTTTATCACCAAATCTCTTTATTTCCTCCTTCATGTCCCTCCCTAGAGTGACTGCCTTTCACTGCTCACACCTGGTTCATGGCTTCAGCTGCCCTCTTGGTTGGCCTAACTCTGAAAGTCTTCTCCCTCCAAAACAGCCTCTGCCATTTGCATCCTGATATTTAATATATGTCATAATTAGATTCCACTGTGCTTATTGGCTGTTATATATCAACACTTCCAATAAGTACCTTCTCTTCAACAGTATTTATTGCTCACAAGCAGGTACAAGGCACTGTTGCCTGGTGGTGGATGCAGAAGTGAATACAACTATCACCTCTTATGTCCGTCTCTTCATGATCATGAAGTCATGGATCTTGTCCTTGAGTGATGTATAATGTAGAGGGAGATAAATAATCGTCCATATGTGAGGCAGAATGGAATGAGTTATAATGACTGAAGGACCAACAGGGGAGAGAAAGGGGTGCAAAAAGAGCCATAATTAAGTTCACTAATCATATCAGGAAATCATAGAGGACTGGGTATTACACAATGTGTAGAGGGAGAAGGGGTGGAGCACACAGTCTCGCCGAGGCTCTGTGCCACACATAGGCAAGGGGCTGTGACCATGCATGGTGTGTCTGGGGAGGTGCCCAACATACATAATGCAGATCCAGGGCTGTTTTGTTTGTTTGTTTATGGTTTCCTCATGTGGATGCCCTCTGTCTTCTTCACTCTCTGCCAAATGCTATTCATCCTTCAAGGCCCAGTTTCAGCTCCGCCTCCCCATCAGGTCCTTTCTGACTGTGCTAGCCGGTGCCACTCCAGGTCATATGTAGTTCAGGATTTAGCTGTAGTGTCTGTGCTGGAATTGGTTTCTCAGTTAGCCCAGGGCAGACATTACACTCATCTCATTCTTTGGGGGCCTTGCAGCCCCAACAAAGTGCTAAAGATAGTGAGGGCCAGGGGGTTTTATGGGTCCATTCACTAGGACTAACAGCCTCATTCTGCCTAAATGCAGTTTAGTGTTGCCGTTCAGTCTGGGGTTGTTTGTGGGCATTTAGGATTTAGCTGGTTATATTTGTTAGCTCATAAGGGGAGCAATTTTTCAAATACTCACTTGAGTGTTCCGCTCAGACGTAGCAGGGGAGAGGGAGGAGCACCTAACCTTGAGCTGAACTCTATGACTCTCCGGGTGAAGCTTGGGAACTGGGTTGGGCCTCGTTTCATAATCTGCAACATCATCTCTCAAGTTCCTGCTCGAGAATGACTTTGCTTCGTTCAAGTCTCTTGTTTTGATGGTTGGGTTGCACTTAGTTCCCCTAAAGTGTCAGAGATATAACTTGTCATTCTCTTTTGGAGAATGGGGTCCTGGGCATGGCTTCTTGGTGTTGAGGCTGCTTGCATAATGTGTTTGTCTGGTTCTGCAGACAATGAGAACTAGTTATAGTAAGGAATCGGCTCATGTAGTTATGGAGATTGAGAAAGCCCAAGATCTGTAGTCAGCAAGCTGGAGTGGTGATGGTATATAGTTCTAGTCTGAGTCTGAGTCTGAGTCTGAGTCTGAAGGCCTGAGAACCAGGAGAGCTAATGGTGTAAATACCAGTCCAAGTGCAAGTGTAAAGGCAGAAGACCAATGTCCCAGCACGAAGACACACACACACACACACACACACACACACACACACACACACAGAGAGAGAGAGAGAGAGAGAGAGAATTCTCCCTTGCGTCACCTTTTTGTTCTATTCAAGCTTTCAGTGGATTTAGTGATGCTCACCCAGGAAAACAGGATTAATTACTTCGTCTACAAAATCAAATGTTAATCTCACCTAGAAACACCCTCACAGATGCATTTGAGTAAAGTTTAACCAAATATCTGTGCACCCCTGGCCCCACCAAGTTGACACATAAAGTTAACCATCACAGAGTGACACAGAAGGAAAGCTTGGCTGGAAAGAAAGTCTCATGAAGCTTTTGAAGTAGGGCCTGAAGAAAAATGCCCCAACACGTGAGAAACCCACAGAAAGTGCATTTTCCAACACAATATTTGGGGAGCGTGTCTGTACTGCTGAGAGCCAGACTCTGACGACTTCTCACGTTGTACTGTCATGTACGGTTGCACTGGTCCAGCCAGTTGTACATGAACAAAGGTTCCTGGGTAAAGGGGGCAAGTGGAGGCTGAAATGCATGCAGCTCACACTCTACTTACCAAGCCATGCACTTGGGTGAGGGGCTGCATCTGCCTAAAGGAAAAAGGGGCCTTTGCCTAATTTTCCCAAGCCATGAACCAGGGCTTCTCCCGCATATTGAGTGTCAGCAGAGCATCTTAGGTGGCGTGCCACGGCATATTACAGATGTGCACAATACGGGTCCTCTCTATGTTTGGAGTTGCTGGGAAAGGTCATCACCTGTAATCACAAGAGGCCTCTAGCCACAGGGAGCCTCCAGACATGAGCAATCTTGATTGTTTACTTCCTTGTGCCATAAAAATATTTTCTACATGTGCTGCGATGTAAAGAAGATTGGAGAGCACTGTGCCAAGGGACTTGCCTTATTCATCCAGAAGGCAATGCACCCATTTCAGAAAGGGCACATGTCCATCTGTCTATCTAAGCACAAGCTATGTCCAGCAGCAGAGAGCTTCCTGGTTTTCATATTGGGATGTGGCGATTTGCAGTCTTCAGGTAAGAGCTGGGCAGAGAAAGTCTGGGTCCAGGGTATCTGCCATTATCTGTGGTTATGGTTTAGTTTCCATAGAGAGAATGCTGTCTGGCAGCCTAGATCACAGATACATAGCTTGGAGTCCTAGGAGGTTTGCTGTCCTGAGTGCTGATGGTTTTGTCCACCTGTGCCCAAGAGGGAGAGAGAGGACATGTTAACATAAAGGTGCTGCTGGGGAATTCCAGTTCCCATGAGGAACCCAGGGGAGATGCCCCGAGGAAATCTGGGGTAGCAGGGCCTTGCCCTTTGCTGAGTCTTTCACCTCTGCCCCAGCCACCCCATCTGGAAGCCTTTGGGTCATCAACTTTTTCACCCAGAAAAAAGCAGGAGGGAATGGTTTTGATCATAGGCTTGAGGCAACAGCCAGGCTCAAGCCACTTGCCTTCCTTGTTCCTAGTTGAGGTCCAGTTCCTTCTGTACCTTCCCCTATTCACCATGGCAAGGCACCTCTGCTAGCATTTCTCCTGCTCCAGTTTAGAACACTGCAGACAACCTGCCCACTGGCTTGAGGAGTCTTTGATCTTAAATCATATACTGACCAATGAATAATCATCATTCAACTTGTCTGGAGGATTCACTTTGAGATATCTCAATTCAGGACTCCCTGAGGAATTCCTCAAGTCTAGTTCTTCACACTGCGAGCTCCTCCTCTGTTTCCTCCCACTCTCCTTCAGATCCTGGTTCAAACATGTGAGCCCCTTGCCCCTCACTTCTTGCTTCTCCTTCCTCCTTTCTTTTCCTTCTCTTCTTGCCTCACTCACCTCCTTCTTTTTCTTCTCTTTCCTTCCCTTTGGTGATCACTGAGGAAAAAAGGCCCCCTGTCTCTTTCTGCGGGGTGCTTGGCTTACCTTTACAACTTTCCTACTTGGCTCACAGATGCCTTAAAGAGTCAGCTCTTGAATTTTACTTATGGATTCATTTACATTCCATTCCACGTTCCCAATATATCCTCCCACCATTCATTTATTATCATTATTTTCCCATTTTTCTAGACTCCTGGGTTCAAATTTATCTTTCATGATTAGCTTCCTGCGTATTAGCTCAGCTATTAAACAGGAACACTTTCAAAACATTTGATTCCCCAAGAGACCCCAAAGCTGTCCTTCTGACAGTAGCAGAAATGAGGACCCTCAGATGGTGACCGCCCCTCAACAGATCCCCCAAATGGAAAGTTCTGTTAAAGGACAGGGTTCACTGTTCCTTTGCACATTCCAGGGAAAGACACTGAAGCACAGGGACTTGTTTCTGTCACTAGACCACGACAAATGGTTGTGCAGGTTACATACTGTTAAAACTCAGCTGAGGGAGCAAATGGGAGCCGAAATGAGCCTGTGTTCTACTTGCCAGTCTCTGTATCTGGTATGGGCCTCCGGGAGGCACCTGTTTTCTTATTTTCACACCGTGAGCTAACAGAGGCCCTGGGTATTGCAGAGGCTGAGGTATCCAAACTATGATCAGGGGCTCAGGGGGTCCTGCACTTAAAGGGTGGGATCAGCACCCCAAACAGGCCAGCCTGTGAATAACCATTGACCTGGGGAGTAGGGCTCTGTGCATGTGTGGAAGTACCTTAGACCAAAGCCCTCAGCCAGTAGTCCTGAGGAGTCTAGAGAGGAGTCCCAAGGAAACCAGCTGGCCCCTTGTTGAATGAACAGGGTGTAATAGCAGAATGGTTGGAACAGATATGACAACAGGGATAAAACGTTAGAAAGGATTGGCATTGTCAGAGTACCGCACTGTGGAATACGTTGTGTTTCCTGGCTTCTCCTTGGTGGGAAGCGCCTGTAAAACACCTGTCATTCACTTAGTCATGGAACCCAAGCACAATGTTATGTGTCCCCCTTCCTACTTCTAACCCTGCCCATCACTCCTCCCTGGTAGCATTTTCACCAGGTGGACTTCTCTCCAGGCCTCAGCTCTGCTTCCATCCAGCTTTGGAGAAGTTCTGGGTCAGATGAGGGTGTGATGGGAGGGTGGGTAGCATTTGGGCAAAAAAAAAATCAAGAAGAGGGGTTTGCATGATGGAGACCGAGTTTCGCTTAGTCAGGGTATTAGCTTTATGGGCTTTATGGACCCCGCTGCCCTATCAGTCCAAACACAGTGCTAGATTCATCAGGCAGGCCTCAGTTTACCCCTTCAGGGGAGCAGCCTGGCACAGGCACAGAGAAAGGTGATACCAGGTAAAATACTGATTCAGGGTGGAGGTGAGGGAGGGGCAGGCAGGTCAAAGGCAGGTGGGAGTTAGCCGGTGTGGGACAGAGTGACTCTGAGCCTGAGGAAAATAAGCTGCTGCTGCAGGCAGACAAATTAATCGAGTTCAAGGGCACCTCTCTCAGCTCTGTGACCTTGGAGCCCCCTTAAGCAACCTGTTCACATGGAACAGCCCTCCCCTCACACCAGGGGCTCTCTTGTAGCTTGTCCCCTGTAGAGGATGCTTCACTCTTAATCATAATTCTCATCTAACCTTGAGCCAGACCCCTACATGAAAGTTTAGGGCCTCACCCTGGAGGCTGCCATGGGGTGACAATTGACCACCTTCCTGTCCCCATAGAGAGAATCCTGGCATCATTTCCCTGACATGGTATTTCCCTGATATGGTATTTCCAGATTCTTGCCTGTTCTGGAGAGGCAGTAGTAAAGAGAGGCCTGCCACCAGTGACTCCCTGTCCTGGGAGTGCTGGTGAAGATCCATGAGTCGCATCAGCTCACCTTGGACGGGGAGATTTCATCGTAGATTCTGAGCTCTTCTGGCTGAGGATTTCTTGGAGCATTGACATATGTGTATATTGTGTTCTTTGAGGCAGCATCTGTGTCACAAATAAAGATAGAAGCACAGTATGCAAAAGGTGGATGACTTGCTCTAGCCCAGTGGTCGGCAAACTCATTAGTCAACAGAGCCAAATATCAACAGTACGACGATTGAAATTTCTTTTGAGAGCCAAATTTTTTAAACTTAAACTATATAGGTAGGTACATTGTTATTAACTTAATTAGGGTACTCCTAAGGCTTAGGAAGAGCCACACTCAAGGGGCCAAAGAGCCGCATGTGGCTCATGAGCCGCAGTTTGCCGACCACGGCCGTAGCCGATTTGACTCAGTGAATAGAGCATTGGCTTATAGACCGAAGGGTCCTGGGTTGGAATCCGGTCAAGGGCATGTACCTCAGTTGCAGGCTCCTCCCCGGCCAGGACCCTGGTCGGGGCTCATGCAGGAGGCAACCAATCGATGTGTTTCTCTCACATCGATATTTCTCTCTCTTTTCCTTTCTTCCACTCTTTCTAAAAAAAAAAAAAAATCAATAGAAGAATATCCTTGGGTGAGGCTTTAAAAAACAACAACAAACACACACACACACAAAACCAAAATCAAAAGGTGGATGACTTTTTAGAGATGGTCTATTCTAATATTTTCTTTCTAAGGTGAAGAAATGAAGCCCTAAGAGATGGCTCCCATCCTCTTGAGATGGATGCTTGGGTGTTTGGACTGTCTTTCCCTCTTCTAGGGATTCCATGTGCTATGGGAAGCACCCGGCTCAAGCCTCACCCAGAGCTCAGCGGGAATTCTTTTTTCTAGAGTCCACATTAGGCTAAAGAGACTCTCTTCAATCTCTGCGCGGGCAGTCAAAGTAGCTCTTCTACCAGGCTCTCCTTAGTGTCTCTGGCACTTAGCATTGACTGCCTTGCACGGCTAGTTGTTTTTTAACGAGAAGGCCTTGGTTTTTCTACTAGATTGAGTCTCTCTAGTTATATACTGTGTTGGAATCTTCTGGTACATACAATACTGTTATTACCTCAACGTTAAGCACATAGCAGACGCTCTACAAACATTTGAGGCTTGCTCGATTGACTCACACAGTCAAACATTGATAAAGCTCCCTCAATGTGCCAGACTGTGTGTGAAGCTGCAGAGAAGCAGACAGGAGAGACACGTTTCTACTTTTAATAATTCATGGGCTGGTAGAAGCCCTCATCCCAGTGTACTGCTTTTCTTTGCTCCTAACATGGAACAATTTAGGATCAAGTTGAAAAGATACAGCTAGAATTTAGAGTCTTTGTGTTCAAGGGCACTAACATAGCCACTCTTAGCAGATCTGAGTTGAGCAATCTCAGAAGGATCCAACATTTCAGAGTTTCGTCCTGTCCAGCCCCTGCCTCAGACTTGGTGAGTGAGCTAGACTGAGTGTTCTCTTGTCTCACTTATAGATAAAAAAAAAAAGCAGCCCTTTTTCCTTCCCAAGAGACGGTAAGGCAAGCATTTCAAACTCAAAGGTGAACATGGGCCAAATAAACGAGACATGTGGCCCGCAGGCTGCGAGTTTGACATGCTTGCTGTAAGGTGTTGAAGACAGATGTCTTTTTTTGAGGAACCCTGAAGATCACCTATGGCCTGAGCGGGTTCTGTGACTTCTCATCATGAGGCCAAGCCAGGGCCTAACATTGACTGAGCACTTACTATGTGCCAGGCACCAGACAAGTGTTTTACATGTGGAATTCCATTAACCCATTACTATGCATATTTTATAATTGAGAAAATGGAGACTCACAGTGATAAAATAACTGGTAGCTGATAAGTGGAAAAGCTGGGACCTTCACCCCAGACCAAGCATGTCATACTCAAAGACCAACACGAGCCAAATAAACAAGGCTGTGAGTTTGACATGCTCGCCCCAGACTGTCTGCAAAGCACAAGCTTAGCCTTAACCACTCTGCTGTGAATTCGTCTCTCCCAGTCATCATCCAGAGAAATTTGTGGCTGAAAACTTACCAGGTTTCTTATGGAAGGTCTTGAAGGAGGAACCTGAGGAATCAGACCAAAGGAGAGTCAAGAACCGGGAAGCAGAGGGAGAGCCTCCTATATCCAGGCTTCTTATTCTGATTTGAGTGAAAGGGAGATTTTGGGTGGATATGGGGTCAGGACGAATAGGATGGTGTAATTTCCCCATAGGTGCGAAGGTCAGCTTTTCTGAGTTGAAAATAGCACAAATACAAAAGAATCCAGAGGGATCTGGAAGAATCTAGTGACAACCATGGAATACCAAATTAGGACATGTTCCTCAGTGACTCTCCAAAGTAAAAAATATGATGGAATTGAAAGTGACCCTGAAGACCCTCTAATCCAGTGGTTCTCAACCTTCTGGCCCTTTAAATACAGTTCCTGATGTTGTGACACAACCATAAAATTATTTTCGTTGCTACTTCATAACTGTAATGTTGCTACTGTTATAAATCGTAATGTAAATATCTGATACGCAGGATGGTCTTAGGCGACCCCTGTGAAAGGGTCATTCGACTGCCAAAGGGGTCTCGACCCACAGGTTGAGAACCGCGGCCCAAGCCTTATATCACATGTAAGAACTCTGAGCCAAAGAGGTAAAGATAGATGCCTAATGAAGCACAGCTTATTAATGGGGGTGCTAAACTTGAACCCAAGCTCTGGGCCCACTAGATACTGGTGATCCCATGAACAGATTCTGAAGAGCCTTCAGAGTGATACCATACAGGCAGGGCCATCAGTCTGGGAGATTGTGTGGTTGGTGGGGTGGGGATTGTAGAAATGTTGATTCCCTGGGACAAAAGACCTCTCCACACCACCTTGGGTAAATGACTCCAGTCCTAGGGAGAAGGAAGGTGCATTTCCACGTTGGGGAAATCCTACCTCGTCCTTTCTTGCAAAAAAGGAACAGAAGCACTGAAGATAGGATGACTATAACCAGAAAGAGCACAGCCAGTCCACTCAGCAATCCAGCACGTTGATTACGGAGGCCCGTGGGGCTATCTGGAAATGGAAGAGGCAGTGAGACAACTCTTGGAAAATAGGCCCAAGATGCTGGGCAGGCTTGGCCACATTCCAGGGGCATTGTCCAAACTGGGGACCCTCCAGGGGAGTACCAGAGCTTTGAGGGAAACTATACTTTCTGCTATCAAAAGTCAGGGTTAGAAACGGAACCAGGGATCATCCCTCTGGTTTGGACCGGTTCCCAGGGCTTCCTGGGAGGAGAGGCCCCTGGGGACCAGGCCTAGCATAAGGGAGGCACATTGCCCTGGAGCATGAGGCCCACACTCAGGCCTTACAGCTCTCCAGAGTGATCGGTAGGACGCCAGGAAAGATGGACAGAGCTGTTACCTGCACAGAGCTGCTGGGCAGAGATGGAGTCCGAATTGTTGCTGACGGGGTTCCAGGCTGTACAGGTGTAAGTCAGCTCTTGGTTGTTAGGAGTCTGGAAGACTTGGAGAACACTACCCTCTGTCCCCGTGGGACTCCAACTGTACTTCACATTTTTTTCTTCTTTCTCCATGGAGCATGTCAGTGTGACGTTACAAGTACTGTTCCAAGATGTCGTTAAACTGTGGGTAATTTTCGGCTTCCCAAGCCTACCTATGGAGGGGAAACACATTAGCCTATACCAGCTTGTGAGGGCCAGCTGCTATATTTAAAAAAATTTTTTTTCAAATGTTTATTAAACACAGCTATCATGTAAAAGCAAAGTATAAAAAGTTAAAATAAAATAAACCATATTAAAAACAAACAGAATAAATACTCAAAACTCATCACTTTCTAATTTTTTGACAATTTACTATTATTTGTGCTCAAAAAGTTATTTATATCTATGTATCTGTCTTTTGTAATAATGTGTAGTCTTTCCCACTCTGCATGTCTTAAAATGATCTATTTGTGACATCATGGATGGTTCTTGAAGGTATGATGCTAATAAATCAGATGAAAAAGAATAAAAACCATATGACCTCACTCGTATGTGAAATATAAAACAAAAAGTAACAAACTATCAAAATAAAACAAAAACTTAGACACAGACAGCAGAATGGAGGTTACCAAAGGGGAAGTCAGGTAGGGCAAAGGGGGCCAAATATATTATGGAAGGAAACTAGACTTTGGGGTGTGAGCACACAATATTGTATACAGATGTTGTACACCTGAAATTTATATAATGTTATTAACCATTGTCACCTGAATAAATTTAATATAAAAAAATCAGCCACAGTGGGAGTATTTATATCACAGGAATTGGCAAATGCTACAAACTTGGACTTGATTTATTGTCCTGTTGATGGTTGCTCTAGACTTAAGAAAGCAATGGAGGAAAGGTTACTAAAGAAGATTAAACTTAAAAGTGTGTCCTGTCTATAGCCATTACATTGCAAATAGCAACAACAACAAAAAAATTAAAAAAATAAAAACAAATTGAAAATATTCTTCCAGTATTTGAAAGCCACTATCCAATTCAGCAAAGAAGTTGCAACTAAATGTATAAAGGGATGAAAACAAACATCTTAAAGTTATTGCAATAAGCTGCTATGAATATTTGTATACAAGTTTCTGCCTGAAATAAGATTTTGTTTCTCTGAGATAAATGCCCAAGAATGAAATCATATGTAAAACCATTTCTTTTAATTTAAAAAATGTATTGTGATAAAATATACATGGCATAACATTTAGTGTTTTAACCATTTTTAATTGTACAGTTAAGTACATTCACATTGTTGTGCAAACATCACCGCTATTTATCTGAGAACTTCTCCCCTCCCCCTTTAAAATAGGTTCTATCTTTGAGAGCAATTTAAGGTTCTTAAAAAAACTGAGTAGAAAGTACAGGGAGTTACCATATGTACCCTGCCCCATTCACTCTCAGCCTCCTCCATCATCAACATCCCCACCAGAGTGGCACATACAATAGATAATGTACATTGATGCACTATCATGATCACCCAAAGTTCACAGGTGATATGCACTCTCGGTGTTGTATATTCTATGAGTTTTGACAAATATATAGTGACATGTATTCAGCATTATAGATCGTACAGTAGAGTTTCACTGCCCTAAAAGCCCTCTGTGCTCTGCTTATTTATCCCTCCCTCCCCCAAACCCCTGGCAAGCACCGATCCTCTACTGTCTCCATGGTTTACCTCCATGCCTTTTCATGGCTTGTTAGCTCTCTCCAGATCTCAGAACTTAAGAATAATTTTTCATTAAAAAAAATTGCCAATCTATTTAAATTCCCACCAGCAATGTATGAGTGATCCAGTTTCTCCACATCCTCACCAGCATTTAAGGGTATCACTATTTTTCATTTTGGCCATTTTGGATAAACCAAACAACTTGCTCAAGGTCACACAGCTGGCAAGAGGTCTAATTCCAACTAAAATATTTCTTAATATGTGAATGGTTAAATAATCTAGTACATCTATGCTATGAAAGGTTCTCCTATAATGAAAGATATAAACTATTGATACTTGCAATAATTAGGATGACTCCTCAAAAGCATGATTCCATGCTGTGATTCCATCTATGTAAACATTTGTGAACTAACATAATTACAGATATGAACAATGGATTAATGTCTTCCAGGAGCTTGGGAGGGGAAAGGGGCAGTAATGAGTGACTATAAAGGGACAAGGAACTTCTGGTGATGGTACAGTTAAGTATCTTGATTGTGGTAGTAGTTACATGAAGCTACATCTTATCTGTATATATAAAAGCCTTAAGCGACCAAACAACCAAACAACTGAGTGACAGATCGCTATGATGCGCACTGACCACCAGGGGGTAGACACTCAATGCAGGAGCTGCCACCTGGTGGTCAGTGCACTCCCACAGAGGGAGCACTGCTCAGCTGACCGACCTGTCCCAGTGGCTCATGGCCCGATGGCAGTCACTCCCTCCCTCAGTAGTCCTGCAGGTCCAATCTCTGGAGAATGGGCCAGGCACCAATGGACTGATGCCACCGGCACAATCACGACAGTGCCACTTCCCCTCCCTAGATGCTCCACAAGGAAGAAATGATATGAAAGTGGCCGCAAGGTGGCTTCTGACAACTGGTGCGAAAGTCAGTGGGATAGATCTGGATCCCAGGCCGCCCGGAGGGCTGATTGCATCCTGACCCTCCCACCTCGGGACGGGCACCAGATGCAGGGCTCACAGCTGGTGAGCACCGCTGTGGCGGCACGAGCCTCTCCCGATTGAGACTGACTGGGCACAAGCCCACGTCAGGTGCAGCGGGGCCAGGATGAACGGGAGTGGTAGGCAGGAGCTGCAGAACGAAGGAAGGCCCTGGCCAGCAGCTGGCAGCTGCTAGGACCCTACTGGTGCACAAATTTTTTGCACTGGGCCTCTAGTATATCAGATGTTACCACTGGGAGAGACTGGGTACAGTGGATACAGAACCTCCCTGTACATGTCTTTACACATTTCTATGTACCTGTAATTATTTCAAAATAAAAAGTTTTCTAAAGTACTTTGCACACACTGTCTCACGTGGTCCTCACAATAACCATGGGAAGTGAGTAGTATGATTATTCACATTTTATAGAAAAGAAAAACAAGGCCACGGGACAAATGCTGATAGAAGTTACATTGCTAAAAACAAGCAAAGCCACACCCTCTTGAAAAGTATTAATATAGTCATGCTTATTTATAAGCATAAAATGATTTAGGGAACCCAGTAGGCAGGAATACAGTTGTTCTGCAATAGCAAATTTGCAAAGTAAAAATAAAAAACAAGCCCTTTATCTTCCCACGACTTACGATAAACTTGAAGTTTGTAGGTCCTGGTGAGTGTCTCCTTTTCAGAGTTCTTTGTATTTATGTCAGCTCTGTAGATCGCTGCATCTTCCATCCTCAGATTGCTGATCTCCAAGTTGTAGTTCTGACTTGAGACGTTTACTCGTTGTTTATAGTTTTGGTGGGTCACAATGACGTGGGGGGGTGCGCCTGAGAGGGCCACTACAACAGCAACGGATGTTTTGGAACTCACCCAGTTAATGTTGGTAATTTGCTGTATGTTTTGGATATTTAAGGGGAAAGTAACTGTTTCCCCCAGAATCCCATTCACCGTGAGCATGTTTGTGTTGCTTTCAGCTGCTTCCAGACCTGAGGACATAAATAGAAAATTGTAGCCATTTGGCTGTTGCACTGTTCAGAGCTCCCTGTCTCCCCAGGCTGGAGTCTCCCTTAGGCACTCCCATGGATGCAGATCACCCAGTTTCTTGAGGATGCCTTTTTGTTTTGGCATTCTACCCTAGACATATTTAATATGTTATGATGGATACATTTTTTTAAGGATTATCATTCAAAAATGAAGTTTCCCAGTGAATTTCCAGGGATCTATTTAATTAAAAACATGTTTATCTAGACTTACAGACTCTGAGAGCTAGAAGGAACATAAGCCTCCATGAGGTCTGAGATATCGAATGTCTTTCTTTCCCAATATCAGATGTCCAAGAAGTGGAAGGGTTGGGGGAGGGCCTGGGATGGCTCCTGTGGTCTTTGCAAAAAGGTTACATTTATGCTTCTATTCCTGGCAGGTACAGTGCTCTGGAGTAAATACTCCCTAAGTTGACGATTTGGGGGATCTTTTTTGTTAACTAGTGTATCTCCAGTCCCCGGAAGAGTACCTGACACACGGTGGGGGGTTAGTAAATACTTCTGGGACACAGTGACAAATGGATTTCACTTGTGTGTTGCCTAGAATGTCTTGGAACAACTTCTGAAGTAAAGTTCATCTATTCATTCATACATTTATGAATGAATGCATAGATTTATTCAAGGTCAGCTTTGTTTCAGATACTGTGGTAGGTATTTATTAATGTAATCTATAATACAAATGTTTGTTGAGCAAACTACTCTTTTAAGCATTAGGAAAAACACACCGAGGCCAGGAGACAAACTATTGATGGAAGATTACAGAACTAATGTAATAAGGAGTTGGGGATACAATGGTGAACAAAAATAGATATACTTCCTGCTCTCCAGAATGTAACAGTTAAATAAAGAGACCAATGTGGACGAGGTAACCACAAACGGTTAAATACAAAGCAAGTAAGTATTATGGTGGTTGAGAGAGAATAGCAAGAGGGACTTGATGTGTTTTGGGAATCCAGGGACACTTTCCAGTAAAAGCTGAAGGATGAGTGAATTTATTTATTTATTCCTCACCTGAGGATATTTTTCCATTGGATTTTTAGAGAGTGGAAGAGAGAGGGAAAGACAGAGAGAAATATCAATGTGAGAGAAACACATCGGTTGGTTGCCTCCTGTATGACCCCTGACCAGGGCCCGGACCAGGGAGGAGCGTGCAACCGAAGTATGTGCCCTTGATCGGATTTGAACTCGGGACCCTTCGGTCCTCTGGCTGACACTCTATCCACTGAGCCAAACCGGTCAAAGCAAGAATGAGTGTTTTTAAAATCTAACATGAGAAAAAAAAATTAAAGGTTTATTTTTCTTTCCCTCCATCACCTAATAAAATAAAGTGATTTAATACATAATTTGTGAAATGAAAGGCAATTCTATATAATAAAAGCCTAATATGCAAATTGACCGAACGGTAGAATGACCAGTGGAACGACCGGTCTCTATGACATGCACTGCCCACCAGGGGGTTGGCACTCAATGCAGGAGCTGCCCCCAGCCCGCAGACCCCAGGCCACCCAAGGCAGGTGCTAGTGGGGCCCCCCATCGCTCCACCAATCAATCACCTCACAGATTGGCCCTGATTGCTGACCAGGCCCTACCCATACACAAATTTTGTGCATCTGGCCTCTAGTATAATTATAAGATGTTATTTTTCTCATCTTTTTCCTCTTCTCTCATTACTTTCTTATTCTCACTGAGCTCTATTTAGTAAGAAATAGTGTTTTGAGCCACCACGGATTATATTACAAATGTTTAAAAAACCAAGAGACACAGGCACTGACCCATCAAGTAAGAGTATCAGCCATAAACAATAACAGTGCTCCTCTGATGAATATTGGCTGCATGTGAGCCCCAAAGAGCAGGACATAAGTTTTCCACATAAGTGGGTTCAGGCTGACCCTAAAATTTATTCAAGGCTTGGCACAAAGAGAGCAAGAAGAAGGGTCATTGAGAATACAGGTCATTTTGAAGTGTCATAAAAGCAAAGGGCCCGGCCAATGTGGCTCAGTGGTTGAGCATCTACCTATGAACCAGGAGGTCACGGTTTGATTCCTGGTCAGGGCACATGCCCGGTTGCAAGCTCGATCCCCAGTAGAGGGCCTGCAGGAGGCAGCCGATCAATGATTCTCTCTCATTATTGATGTTCCTATCTCTCTCCTTCTCCCGTCCTCTCTGAAATCAATTTAAAAATTTTTAAAAAGCAAAGGGATTTTTAACCTGTCTCACTAAGGCCGCCTTTGTCTTCAGCCAGTAAGCAGTTCCTGAATGAACCCAGGGGCTGCAAATATAAACCTCTTTTCTTTCAGACCAACCAACATTTCCTCTGAGGAAGACCACCGCAGGCAAGGCCTGACGACTTAGTTAGGGGAGGATATGTAACAGGGCCCTGGGGGTGCGAGAGACTAAGGACCCTCACTTACAAACATTAAGTGCTATCTATGTGCCAGATGCTGTGTTAGGGACTCAGGGGTGAATAGGACATGGCTGCAGTCCTGGTAAAGACAGATGTGTATACAAGTACTGCATTCAATGTGATGTGTGGTAAGAGCACAAGGAACACACCATTGGGGGACCAAGCAGAAACTAAGGTTGCTTTCAGTGGCAGGAGTCATAGTTTACCAAAATTCATGAATTCTCTCCAGGTAAACTGTCCCATTGGGCTAATGACATCAGGTAGAGGGACATGTGGAGGGTCCCAGCCTGAGTCTCTGGATGTCCCAGATATAGTTTATGTGACTTGCACAGTCACACAGAGCCTTGAGCTCAGAGAGACCCTGCATTTAGTTTAGTGATGCTGCAACACCTTGAAATTCTTCATAGTATTTAAACAAGAAGCCCCATATTTCATGCTGTACTGGGTTCTACAAATTAGGTTCTACAAATTATACAACTGGTCCTGGTGCCAGATCTTAAGGCTTTTTTTTTTTTTTACATAAGGCCCTTAGTACCTAATTGCCATTCTGCTCGTTGGATTCGGGTCAGGTGTGAGAAGATGGATAAAGTGTGTGTGCCATTGCCTCATCATTTTGGTGGGCTCTTTCATCAGACTCCAGGAAGTGTGTAGGCAGTTTGCTAAGGTAGAGTTCTTAGTGTTAGAGCAGTTGGGCAGCCACAGCGTGGTGGATGTGGGGTGCTGCTTTTGTAGTTTGTGTATCTTATCTTCCATGGCAAGTCATCAGGAAGTGGTGCAGGCTGGGTGGCTGATAGAAGGAGCTGGGGGAAGTCCTGCTGCTATTTGTGCTGCTGCTGTGGTGAGAATTCTGGGCTTGCTGAGAAATGGCATAGGGTTTGTACAGGCATAAGGTAAAGATTCTCCCACCTTCAAATGTTCCAACCGTGATGTAAGAGAGGCAGCTGCAAAGCCTTAGCATGTGGTGGAAAGATAGGGAGGCTGAAGATGTAGGTGCTAGTACTTACATGTATGAGCTGGGTAACCTTATAAAATCACAAAACCTTTCTGAGTCTCAGTTTCTTCATCCATAGAATGGAAATAATAGCTATAAAATTGCCCTACCTAATTAGTGATCAGCAAATCATACAATATGAGTGAAAATGCTTCACTAACCATCAAGGCAAATACATGTTAGTTATTTCTGAGGTTAATAATGACAATGAGGAGGAGAATCATCTTCCTCATCTCTTTTTTATTAATTAATTAATTTAAAAAATTGATTTCAGAGAGGAACGGATTGGGAGGAAGAGATATAGGATGTCGCAAAATTCACGCAAGATTTGACGCAAGATTTGAATTTTACGTGAGCATTAACAACAACAACAACAAAAAATAAAAGCCTAATTTTACTTGGTTTCTAATATCTGTTGCCCTTTGATTTCAATCCCTTCAATTTGATAAGCATTACCAAGTACCAATTATGGCCCAGGAGCAGGGACAATGAAGACCAATGAAGACTACGGCTTTGCATATGTGCCAGCAAAGCCGTGGAGGCCATTTACCCAATGTGCTATATACTTTATGAATCAATAAAAAATTTACAATTTTTAATTATAAACCTGTGTTCTCTATCAAAATTACTTCTTGCGTGAATTTTGGGACACCCTATAGAAACATCAATGATGAGAGAATCATCGATTGGCGGCCTTCTGCATGCCTCACACTGGGGATTGAGGCCCCAACCCGGGCATGTGCCCTGACGAGGAATTAAACCGTGACCTCCTGGTTCATAAGCTGATACTCAACCACTAAGCCAAGCTAGCCAGACCATCATCTTCTTTATTATCATCTTAATAACTGGTACATGCCCTTGAAGGCTTCCCTAGTCTATCCCTATGATGGCCATGGTGACACCAGGCCCATACAGAAGAAGGTATAAAGAGTCATTATTAAGGGTTAATTCAAGTAGAGCCCTGGGGTTTTTTTAGGTACCACTTTACTTGGTGAACTTTATTTTTCTCTTAAAAACTTCAGTGTTAAAACAATCCCATTTACCATTGCACCAAAAAAAAAAAATTAAAATACTTAGAAATAAACTTAACTAAGAAGGTAAAAGACCTGTACTCAGAAAACTACAGAACATTGAAAAAAGAGATAGAGGAAGACATAAACAAATGGGAGAACATACCGTGTTCATGGATTGGTAGAATCAACATCATTAAAATGTCTAAACTACCAAAAGCAATTTATAGATTTAATGCAATCCCCATTAAAATACCAATGGCATATTTCACAGACCTAGAACAAACTCTCCAAAAATTGATCTGGAATAAAAAAAAAAGACCCCAAATAGCCACAGCAATCCTGAGAAAGAAGAACAAAGTTGGAGGGATCACAATACCAGATATCAAGCTATGTTACAAAGCCACAGTTCTCAAAACTGCCTGGTATTGGCACAAGTACAGACATATGGACCAATGGAACAGAACAGAGAACCCAGAAATAGACCCAAGCCATTATGCTCAATTAATATTTGACAAAGGAAGCAAGAGCATACAATGGA